AAAAGGAAGTGCTCTTTGAGCTGAGCTTTGGAAAGATGAGGCACTTACCAGCTAGACAGACTGAGAAGGAAACTTTCCAGGCAGGGCAGTGGCACAGAAAAAGGCACAGAGGCTTAAGGCAGACGTGGTTTCTAGAAAGTGGCATTTTGAAATCAAAATATGCTGCATTTTCTATTGAATTCCTGGCGTTTGCTGAAATTATGACTAACTTTATGTGTCGTGAAGAGCGACATAAACAAGTACTAAAAAGATCCTTTTTTCACTGGTGTCCGGGTGTTATTTTTTACTCTTAAGACCATTCGATGTCCACTCTGGGGAAAAATAGCTTTTTAAAAATGGTCAGTATTTAGAAACAAACACTGTGTTTCACAGTTTCAGAGGGCACCATTCACACTGCATCCTAGAGTTACATGTTGTGACAACCTTACTTGAAAGCCTCACACATTTCTGAGATACACACACGCGCGCGCGTGCGCACACACACACACACACACTTATGCAAACTTCAAATTCTAAAAAATAGCTCAGGACTTTGCTGCACCATCTCAAGTATCATAGAATAATTATTTTTGTCCAAGTCCAACTTTACTGAGCACTAGCCAAAATGCAGTTAATTACAGTGCACGCTGTCTAATTATGCAAAACGCCACCTTAAAACTATCTTAATTAAGGGCTAATTCCATGTTTCTATCTCTCAACAAAGTATTACAGTGCAGGCTTGTATCTGTGGTTGTCTTGTGTCTTAGCTTTCAATTGCCCTCGTTTTGGGATGCAATACAGACCATGTAGGTACAATGGAGACTTTGTAAATCTCTGCAGCTGACGCCCTGCCTTCCTCAAAGCTCAGCAAAGCTCCTTATGTCATTATGGACGTGGGAGACTGATGATTATCCTTCTCACCTGTTGGTGCTTATCAGCTAAGTAGGATTTTCAAAACAAGGATCTTGAAGAAATGATCTGATTGAAATTGAGATGCTGACATGGGAGATCTAGGACTTTTCCACTGGAATCAGTCAGATTGATGCCCATATTCTTTGCCTTTCTTCACTCTAATCAAATATTGCCCTTATAGTTCCTCTAGTTCTCTAGCCTTTATTAAGCAATTTTTCATTACATCTATTTTCTCATTTGATTTCTGCAACCAAACTGTGAGATATACCTTATAGAAATACTCCATTTTACAGATGAGGAAGCTAAAGCTCCAAGAGTTAATGTATGTCACTAATATGGTGACACTTCAAGTCCAATTAAGACATTTTAATTTTGAATTCCATACATTTTCACTCTTCCCTGTGGTTTGTAATCCAAGCCTCTCCACACGTTACCTATTTTCTAAGCCTGATATTAAGGTTTTATGTTTATTAACTGATTTAATCTTCTGAACATCCCATGGAGACACTGAACCACAAATTCACTATGTGATCGTGAAGAAATCGCTCCATGTCTTTGAACCTCATTTCTCTCCGATGTAAAATGAGTAGCTTAGGTTAGAACAGAGATAGCAAACAGATTTTAATCAAGATTCCAATTCTGACCATTTGGTAATATCTGTCTGAAGAGTTGTATTGAAAAATATTGAGGCCAAGTTGAGGTTCTGCAGTAAATGCAGACAGTGATAACTTGTGATGCCTGTCAAGGGCATGGAATGGGGGAGTGACATCATGTGCTACATACTCGCCATCTATCAACCACATGAACTCCAAACCATTAACCTAGTTTAATCTTTATAATCATCAATGTAGACACTAAACACTAAATTTAGGACATTAAATGTGCTGCCACTGGTCTTTACTTCACTAGTCTCTTTTCTAGTTTCCAAAAATTTCTAAAGAACATCAACTTTCTTTTCCCTATCGTGAGAGCATATCAAGGTCTTACTCTGAATTCCTCTTATTGTGACTTGCTTCCAGTTTAAACACAAAGTATTTCATGGAGATAGTTACAAAAGCCTCTGCTAAGTTTCCTACAGCTGGAGATGTCCACACACAGTACTGCTGCCCTCCCACTCACAGCCATGCAGTTGCAAAAACAAGACCAAGTAATAGTTTATACCTTTTTGTCAGCTGTTATTTCCAAGTGCCAACACCTCCTGAACAAAAAGTAGAAAAACTGCTAAGAATGACTGTTTTATGGAGATGACTTAACAGCAGCATTTTTTTTTTAAGAGTTGTTATTTACATTGGAGCACCTTCTGGACTCTCAGTGACTCTGACTCAATCTAGCCCTTATCTCTGCCACTCATCCTTTGTTCATTTACAAGGTCTGCCCCTGTGTCCCAGCCCCCACAGAGAATTCTACATCTTTTGCCTTTTTGAGACAGTGTTATATACTCAACAAGGAGTCAAAAAAATATGTGGTTTTAAATTTTGACTCTACTAATTACTGCCTGAGAAAACAGGCCTCATTAATAGCTCTGAGGCTCAGCTTCTTCATCTGTAAAATGGGTTATCATCAGAGCACCTACCTCAAAAGAAATAGCTGTAAAAAATAGATGCCAATGGATGTGAAAACCTTTTATGGCCTGGAAAGTGCCATACATACATGAATTATCTTTTATTCATTGCTGTGACTTTTTTTTGCCTCCCCCTCTTAGTCTCCCTTCTGCTATCCATAGGGCTTTTTATCCTTGAACATGAAAGTGAAAATTGGTTTAAGGTGCTGAATTCACAGCTATTATGTAATACCAGCTGCTGTGAGTTCCCTATAGGCGTCCTTACATAGCACCTGATTGTCACAGGGTCTTTAGAATTGGGATGGGTCTTGACATAAGGGGTGTTGCCACCACTGTCTGCCAGTCTTTCTGCTTTGAACAAGAACCGGTGCCTTTTATAAATTAGAAAGTAAACAAAAAGCAATGAATAAACAAAGAACTACAGAACTGTCTAACAAAGTTAATCAAAGCGGGGCTACTTTGAGCTAATTTTCCAAATCGCAAATTATACACACTGACACCAAATACCTTATTTAAGGTATGCCTTTAGAATGTCCCATCAGAATGATTTGCAAGGTCATTGGAAAGAGATTCCTGTGGAAACACGATGCGTTATATTTATTTAGAGAAAACCACACTTGTCAATGAGAAAGCACGCAGACAGAAACACATAGTAGAACCTGTCTTTGGCCTCATCGCTCATCCTGTCTCCTACCACTGAAGTCAGAATGCAAATTCATTAACATCTTTCTTTATGTTAGGCACTGGGGACACAGTAGTACATGAAACCCAGTCCTTGCCTTTATGGAGTTCCCAGTCTCATGGAGAGGCATAAATATCACCTGATATTTAAACCCTTCGTTATCCTGTGGTCAGTATTTCTCTTTTCACATATTTATCATTCCAGGAAGATTTCCCTGTAATATTACAGTCTAACACTGTCATGCTTCTATTGCTAAAGCTATACTTTTCCCTCAACCATTTTACACTTATCTTTTGAATTCCCATGACCTCTACATCTCAGGCTTTAGATAACGGGGGCTTAGCAATCATTTTCTTTTTAGCCTAGCCTCCATAAATTTCAGTAGTTTTGTTTATTAAAAGGAACCATTTTTCTCCTGAATAAAAAAAATGTGAATCTGTCTCCTCATGTATCAAACCTCTGCCCAGTTGTGAGAATGTCCCCTGAAGACTTCTGAGGCATCTATGAGTATGCCACTTAGAAGGAACATCAGGCTCATTCTTCATGCCTAAAGGAAGTAGCTTGGCCTAGTGGTGCCATTCTGAGAGTGCGCTCTGCTTGAGGGTGCGGTAAGATGTGACTTAGGCCAGGGGCCAATTCTCATGCTTGAAAATGTAAGACATCCCACCCCACCCCAGCTACCCAGTCTCCAGGAAGACATCTGTACTTCACAGCTCTATCCACATATTGCTTCATTTCCCCAAATCAACTGGCAGTATCGAAACTGTGATATTAACTAACTCCTTTTATGAAATGAACTTACCTGGTCTGATGCCGTGGCTATTGAAGGAGGAGCATGTGGTATTGACAAACTGTAACAGTGTTTCAGGCGTGATGAGGCGATAAAGCAATGAGATTCATTGCCCTTTGGTTTCTGAAAAACTACCTCATATCACACTTCTCCTCTATAGAACAACAGGCAGGAAGTGCTTTTCAACAGCCCTAAGCTATTTCCTCACCAAAGAATAGTCAGTCTTAGGCCTAAAACAAATATAAGAGCAGACTTTTCTGGGTTTGCAGCTGAATCAAGCTAATCTCATGCCCAGGTGAAAAAGATGATTGAAAAAAATAATTGCCTAAAACCAATTTACTTTCCATGTTTATTTGTTGATTCAAGGCCCACTGTAAATCAGAAGGCTTGTAGCAAATGACATTGGAGGGGCTGGCGCTTTTACTATATTGTCTTTCTTAGTTCTTTTTCCAAAGTTTCAAGGCTAGATTTATGAGTAATTACAACCAGTGATTTAGGGTGCTCCTCAATTTTTTATCTTCTTGAATTGACCCAGCATTTTCATGATGAATTAACATTATCATAAAATCCTCAGTGCCCTATAGGTATGTTCTGATGAAGTTTTTGTATAAAACAAAACAAGCAGACACTTGCTTTTGAACAATGTGCTTCTCTGGGAAATAAAATAGAAGATGAAATAAAAGGTCCAGAAATGCTGACAATGTAGCAGCACGCTAATGAATGGACCCTGTCCTTGAACTAGACCGTTTTGTTTTAAGTAGTAATGCTAGGCATAGAGGCCATGGTGCTCCATTTCTCAGTGTCAGGCAGAGGACAGATCCATAGGTCACTGCCCTGATGAACTACAGACAGCTAGCTTCCAGTCGTTACTTAGAGATATGACCATCGATAACCTGACACTACAATAGTGCCAAATGGTATTATAAGGATGAAAGGAGTTTTTGAATGGTTCAAGGAGAGAGAGCAAGGAAAATGAACCCCAAACTGTGTGTTTCCTGTGTTTCAGAGCAGGGCTTGTAGCTGTGGTGTGTGACTGGTTGTTAGTTCACTGTAATTTTCCTTTCTTCTCTTCTCAGGAGGTCAAGAAGACTTCATTCTTTCTTATGAGCCTGTCACAAGGCAGGAAAGTAAGTTTCCCAGCATGCTCTGGTTCCTGATTTTCAGGCCACAACAGGTGACACCATTACAAGAGGGAAAGAATGAAGGAGTAAGGAAAATAAACTCTATTTAATACTCAGCTGTCCCCAGACCAGATGCTCTCTCTTTTGCCCTCTCACCAAGCAAACAATTTCCCTGCTGACCATGAGCAGGGACAGCTCCCAAGAGGATGGACCAGCTCTCCAGATGAGCTGTCCTTAATGGGAAGGACCACATCCATGTCACTAAAGAGCCCCGTTTACAGGACCGATGGATAAAATCAGGAGACTGACGACAGCTCAGTTGTGGAAAGAACTTTCTAGCCAGCCTGTCCTATGATACAAACCATCTGCGGGCTGCTCCAGAAGCCTGCATTTCCTTTTCTTAGAGGCATTTCTACAGAGACTAATGGCTATTGACAAGGTTACTGCAGAGAAAATTCAAGCATCAGATGAGGAGTTATACCAAACGAGCATTAGAGTTTCTTCTAACCCCATGATACAAAGGAACTGGGAAAACTCCAGGAGAATATAAAGAGTATTTTGAGATGAAGTATGAAATAAATTATGAAAACATAAGTTTTCATTACTACAAACGATTACTTTTTAAAGTTATTGTCTAAACAGTGGCCAAATAGCTACTTCAGAATCTTTTTTTCTCCTGCTCAATTGATTAAACTCAGTAGATGATTTGACGTCATGTAGGCATAATCTAAGAATAAGCACAACCCCTCCAACTGGCTCTTTTCATTGACAGACACTGCAGTTCCTTTTTTCTGTTAGTAAATTCCAGAAAGTAGGCACAGCCAAGATACTGAGTGTTACACACCCATTTCCCTATACAGGGCTGTATGAGCGATTTATCCAATGAAGTAATGCCCTCGGCAGTTCTTACCGTTTGACAATTTCGCCTTAAGAATCACCCTGACAGGACAGTTTTGAAGTCATTTACGTGACTTTCTCCTCATCTGCCTCTTCCTTTTCCTCTCTGCAGTAAACTATACTAGGCCAGTGATTATCCTGGGCCCCATGAAGGATCGGATCAATGATGACTTGATATCTGAATTTCCTGACAAATTTGGCTCCTGCGTGCCTCGTAAGTATCATTTTTCTTTTCTCTAGGAAAAAGCTTGGCTCCTTTTTGAGATGATAAAGCGTAATTCTGTTCCTCAGTAGTCTCTCCAGTGGTTCGAATACTACCAATTAGTTACCTATTATCCAAGCATCTTATTTAATTTTCTCTGCCTGACACTTCATCTATCCTGCCATGTAATCTCTATTTAGTAAGTAGTAAGTATGTTCTCCAAACTGACTGTGGGCTCCTAGAAGGCAGGATGAATCTTTTCTTTGTAACTGCCATAGCATTTAAAATCACATAGTATTATTGATAGGTATGCTCTCACAGATTGATTGAAATGCCACTGAATCACACTTTCCCACATAATAAGAGAGATCAGAAATAAAAGCCCTATTTTAAAATCATCTCAGTATGATTTAGGGCCATGTGTCAATCCAAAAACAAAAACCTTTCCTCTGTGTTTTTATAGTCCCACGTTTGGGGAAGATGAAGACAAGAAGGTATATAAAACCTTAATCTATCCTCATTAAAGTAATTACAGACTTTAATCTACTTTCTTATCATTATAGACAATCATCAGATCTCCTGGTCTCTGAATATGGACCCATAAAATTCTATCTTCTCTACCTCCTTTCTCTCTACCATACCTTCCCCACTCTCCTACCTCCATCTACCTCTATTCCCACTGTGTTACATAAAAATTAGAGGGCTTCTGTGTATGTAGAGAAAACACCAGGAAATTTTAATTTATTAGATAATTGAGCTCTTAAATTTGATCCCAAATTTTTCTTTCTCACTCTACATTTTTTAAGCTTTATGCTTTGAACTGTCTGTTACATTGCATTACTGCAAATGTCACCTGGAATACATAAGAATAGCAGGAACTGTGTATGTGTACAGGACATGGACTGAGGGAACTAGGATGATGGGTATGTCTCGTGAGGCCTTCCCAGCAAGTGCTCTGGGAAGAGATCTTGCCGTAGAACATAGCCTGAGAAAGACTCTAGATAGAAATAATCAAGTCAAACTCTATTCATAGCAACTTCCAGTTTGTTCCTCCACTTTTGAAGTAAAAAATAAAAAAGGCAGTTCTTAAGCACTATTTCCATTTTACCCTCCACCTTGTACACTCTTCTCTTTCTCTTTTTTTAATTAATAACATATTTTATGATAATCAATACATATTCATTGTACAAAACTTGGAAAATGCTTTTTAAAAAGTTAAACAATAAAAAATATACAGAATTCCACAGATAACATCACAGTTAGTGTTTTCTTAGATTTCCACCCCTTCTTTCTTTCTATATATGTATTTTCTCCTGTGATTGAGGACATATTAGATAAATACAGTATTTTTTGTTTAACATTATTTAAAATTTTATATAATTATTTTAAATTATATTATGTCATAATTAATCATTGTATGATATTTTGCTTTTTGTCTCATATAATTATATATTATAATTACTATCTATAACTGATAAACTAATATAACTGAACATCTTGAAAGATAAAGTTTTAAACAAATTTTGACAATTTTTAAGACAGATTCCTAGAAATAGAATATCTGAGTCAAAGATTGAAATTATATTAATATTTTTATTTATATTGATAGATTGCCCTTTTCTGATGAAGTTTAGTCACGTCTAGCCATGATTAAAGTTTAGTCCCATCCTAACTGTGATTATCTCATTTTACGTCTTTTAAAATCCCTGAATGTATTTAAACTGTATGTCTCTTTATTTTCTGGTTATATGACACATTTTCTTGCTTCTTTGCTCATCCCATAATCTTTTATTTTGTGTTGGACATTGTGATGCTACATTACTGAGAGTCTGGATTTTGTTATCTTCCTTTATAAAATATTAAGTTTTTGTTCCGACAGGTAATAGTTTACTGACAGATCAGCTTCTTCCAATAATGACTTCATTTTAGACTTTGTGAAGACAGGCCTAGGGTAGGTCTAGAGTAATCTAATTTGTGGCTTCTCTGGGGCCATTATATGACCTCTAGACTCTCCATTTAGAAATAGAAGTAGAATAAATGGAGTTCCCCTCATGTGTTTCACTTGTCAAGAATAATAGTCCTGCACTGATTATTATCTGATGACTGAAAATAGCTATTTCATATATTTTGTCTAATTTTATAGTTGTTTACAGGGGGAAACTAAAACTGGTACCTGTTGCTATGTCATGGTCCTTCATATAACATATTTTTATGTATCTATGTTGAGGGTGTGGTGAAGAAAACAAGTATAAATATACGACATTAATTTTATTATTTTTTGTTTTATAAAGATACTACGAGGCCAAAGCGTGACTATGAGGTGGATGGCAGAGACTATCACTTTGTCATTTCCAGAGAACAAATGGAAAAAGACATCCAAGAGCACAAGTTTATAGAAGCTGGCCAGTACAATGACAATTTATATGGAACCAGTGTGCAGTCCGTGAGATTTGTAGCAGAAAGGGTATGTTCACCAGTCATCTTACACCTCCTCCCCTGAAGAAGGGTCCCAGGTGGCAAGATGCATTTTGGTCATTATTCTTTCCTGATTATAGTTGTAATTTTTGATTAAATATTCCTTTTAAGATCTCTAAGCAGAGAGTCACTTTAGAACGAGGTTGCTAATCTTTGCTCTAATCTCAATAAAATATGCCAATTGACTTAAGGGGTGGGGAAGTATAAACCTAAAGACAATTAACAGCTTAAAGTTTATGAAGATTCATTTTGTCCTTTGCTCACTTATCTTTGATCCCGGTAAACAGCATTGAATTTATTAAGGAAGCTTCATTACTCTTGGTTGTTTAGATCGAGGTCCTCAATTCTTTTTAATAGCAGGAGTTACTTGTTATCTTCCTGAAAACTTGAGGTCCTCATGATGGAGGGTAAATAGATGGAGAGGACTGCTTAGCCAGCTCAGCTGGCAGCAATTCCAACTTACGGGAGGTATTTCAAGGGAATGGAAAAGGAGAGAATGTTCAAGAGGGAATAGGATAGGAAGGCACCCGAGTGTGGCTTTAAGATCTGCCTATAAAGACATCTTAATCTGTAAACAGATGACCAATTTAACAGGAGGGGGAAAAAAAGAATTAAGAGGCAATCACATTGTAACAGAATTAGTATTTATTGGGTTGATTTATTTTGATACAATCTTTTTTACAAAACCTCTTTTAACATACTAGTAAAAATAAACAAACAAACAAACAAACAAGAAATTTTAATGTCTATCTGAGAATACACTAAGAAGTTGCATCTGTTTTCCACCCTCTCAAAAGTTAGGTTCTATGAGGTATATTATACTGTTTGTAATTAGTTTCCTAAATAATTGCATTTATTTTCTTCTTTGAGCATGTAGATACAATCTTTGTTAACTTAAGAGGTTCTGGCCAGTGAATAATCAGACAGAATTTAGAGATTTTTATGTAGCTGCTGCACTTCATAGATAGTAAACTTGGAATTTACTACTTAAGTGATAAAGGCTTGAACCATCTCAGTGTGTTTCTCCCATAAGAGCTCAAGTATTTATGAATTCTGTTCATTTTCATTTGGATATTATAGATGAGTTTTTATCCCCATTATTGATTTAAGACTGTTCCTATCTGCATAATATGCTTTTTTTCTTCTCATGTAAAGTTCTTCTAGCATGAGGGTAATGAGGCCATTTCTCTCCAGGAGGTAGAATATGATGTGTGGCAAATAAATCTACTTTTCCAAAAATACTTAATAAAGCAATTCCTTGTTCTGAGCACTCATTGCAGTGGAAGTCAAGTTAAATGAGGTGTGCTATAATGTAATAGAGTTTTTATTTGTTAACAAATTTACATACCCTGTGCAAGCCTCTCTCATAGCATTTAAGATATAGTATTTACAATAACTCTTTTTGTGTCTGTCCTCTGCTAGACTGAGCACTTCAAGGGCAGGGTGTATATAAGCATTCAGCAAATGTTTATGGAATTGTTCTAAATTCACACAATTACCATTTCTCCAAATTTAACATCAGGCAAGGTGAGACAACAAGGTGTCTGTTCATTCCAGTGCTCAGGCTTTGGGTTTCTGTCCTTGTAGCACTGAGACTTTAGGCAAGTTAGTTAATATTTCTAAGCTTTAGTCTTCTCTTCTCTAAAATACTGTTGATAATATGAACCTCATAGATTTGGGAATTTCTTCTTGACAATTGTCTTCAGAGATGGTTTATGAGCTTCATGAGAATAGACTCACATTACACTTGTCTATATATATTTCTTTGTGCAAAACATTAGATTTATTTAAGAAAACAAAGTACCTGAGATGACATATGTGAAATGTCTATCCCAGTGGCAGACACTTAGTAAGGGGGTAATAAATATGAGTTATGGCAAGCATTCAGTAATGACCTATACATCTTTCATTTATGCTTTGCAGTGATCCTTTGTCAAACCTTAGAAATCCATTATTCCTTATCTTCTCCTAAAGTACACTTACATTTTTTTAGGGGGTGTTGGATTATGATCACTTTTTCTGGATTAACTCCATATTTTTCTTCTTTCTACCAGGGCAAACACTGTATACTTGACGTATCAGGAAATGCTATCAAGCGGTTACAAGTTGCCCAGCTCTATCCCATTGCCATCTTCATTAAGCCCAAGTCTCTGGAACCTCTGATGTAAGTGGAGGCCACTGGGGGCCTTCATCCGGTTCCCTGTTCCATATGACACAGCACATTATTAACAGCTTTTTGTCACAAATGCTTACAAATGGGAAATGCCACTGTTGATTTTTTATGCATTTCCTTTTTTAAAAGCTATATTAAAATTTTTTTTTGAGCCACTAGAGACGTAATGTCAGTAACTCCTTAAAATGTCCTCACTAATGTTTCTCGACTTTTTTTCATTTCACAAGTTGTTTTGTGTGTGTGTGATTGTTTTGTTTTGTTGTTTTAAAGGTAGGTTGATTTAGTTTGGTTTGCTTCTTCAGTTTTGTTTTACAAATGATAGGTAGCATCATCTTTGAATTGTCTATTTCTGAGAGCAGCTCCATTGGTAAATCTTTTTAAATATGTAGGTTTTTATAGAGGGAGCAGACAATATTTTAGACTCTTTTCATTGGCATTTCACTTTGCTCTATCATAGAATTCTTGTGTTCCTTAATTAAAACCTCATGAATATAGACCACTATCTTTAATAGGGAGTTTTTAAGACCTTAGAGTATTTGACAAGGTACAGAAGTGAACCACAAAGCACTGGAAAAGAGTGCTTATGGAAAGACCAAGAAAATGAAATTACTTAATCCCAGAGATGAAAATAGCTACTTGCAGAGGATAACAGCTAACTGTTCCGCATCTTCTCTAAAGATGAAAAGGCGAAGTGAGCTGCAGTAGCTGGAATCGAAGCCAAGAAAATTAAGTTAAACACATAGTTGATCTCTGGGGAAATTGCCAGAGCTGTATCTTAAAAGCAGACTATATTCTCATAAATAAAATATGGACAAAGTTTCTCACCAGGATGAAAAAATAAAATTGGGAGGTGGCTGACAATTCAGCCACATGAATTTAGGTCTTAAATTTTAACATAAAGATTATTGCCCATAGTTGGCACGTAAGAAAATATGTGTTAATGTTAAAATAATGATTCTTGATAGTATTATCCCTGATCATGTATATTAAGTTTCTCCTCGTGTAGGATATTGTGTGGGGTATTACATAAAGTGAATTAAGCAACCACAAATTTCATCATGTAAAAGTAATTTCTAATTCTTAAAGAGCCTCGTAAAGAGCCTCAAAAATTATTAATGCTTACATTAATAATAGGATTCAAAAAATAGCCCTCTCATCCTGGAAACAGCATTTTAAAGGCCTGTTTCATAAATAGAAAAATGAATTTCCACATCATAAACATGCAGTGGGATAAATGGCTTCCTGGGGAAGTGAGGCCTGTGGGAGAAACAGCAGTTACGCATTTGGTTCAGTGTGATATTGGGAGACATTCCCATCTGGTGCTCAGTAGGAGAAGGTCTACTTCCTGCCACAACTATAAGATGACTTATTTAGTTTTGCCTTAGGGCATTGTCACAGTCACTTATCACCAAGGAAGATTAAACATCCTGAAGGCTGGATTCCTCCACCAGGATAGTGAATCTGACAGAATTTTCTGCAGCCATAGTCATATGTGGTGACATTCAAACCAACGTGCTCTCATTCGTAGATGCTTGATGTTTACTTTCCAGTTCGCTCTTTTCCAAGAGTTTTACTTCAGGAGCAAAGCTGGCATGAATTGCCCAATGCCCAGGGAGGAGTGAATGCTAGGTCAGCTGGAACAAGAGCATGGCAGCTGTCACATCTAGGCATTGATACATCATCACACACATTATTTCTCAAGTGCATCGTCCACATCAAACCACAGAGCTTATTAGCACATGCATAGCTGACTCTTCAGAGAAGCATAAAATCAAGGGCATGTATGAAAGAGATGTTCTTTTTATATTGTGTTGCCTCGTGACTTCCATTCCCTGTCCTGCCCAATGGCAATGGGAAGCTTTCCCGTGTCTCTTCACCTTGCCCCAACCTGCTCTTGCCTTCTCGCTCCTGTGATAGCCTGTGTTCACTTCTGTATTCAACTGTGAGATAATTATATTTATTTGTCTAGCTCTCCATGCATTCATTCACTGACTTATTCATTCAACAAGTAAGTGCTGAGTCAGGCTCCATGCCGTGGTCTCTTCCCTCAGAGAATTCACAGATTAGGCAAAAAGACAGAACAAACCCATAGATTAGAGGTTTAAAAACCTAAGCTTAGTCATCACGACAATAAGTGCAAAGGGAATATAGAGAAGATAGATCAGGATGGGCCAGGGAAGTCAAAAAAGATTCTGACCTACATGATTTCTTGACATCTGAAGCAAAACGCCATCTTTCTGTGAAACGTTTCCCTTGGTTTAGCCCAGCATCTTCTGTACCTGAGAGTGACAGTCACTCACAGCTTCTAGGGCTAGTGCTATGTGGGAGGAGAATCATGGACACCATCGCTCAGGACAAGATGAGTTTATTTCAACAATAAGAGCTCACAAAATTTTTGCTTCTGTGTATCGCAGCCATCAGTGTCATGTACAGAATCATGTTAACGTCTAGCTTTAGTTATTTATTTTTTCCAAATAAGGCTCTTGGTATAACTTTTAACCAATTTTACTTAAAATTGGTTTAAAAAATCCTTACACCAGATTTACTCTTGATTAAATGTACAACCTTACACAAGTCTCTTTACTACTTCAGGCCTCATTTACTTTCTCTGAAAAAAGGAATTTGCTGAGACTACATGTTCCAGCCCCAGATCTCTGGCTTCCTTAGTGGAATGAAAGGCAGCAAAGTTGTCAAAATTTTATGTGCACCTGTGATGGTCCCGATGGACTAACCAAAATGTCTTTGCTCTCGGCCGGACTTTTATCAGCCTAACACAGTCACGCTGGTATTCTTATGATAATCAGAGGCAATGACTGGAAGTCTTTGATTAATGAAATGTCTTTGATTAAGAAAAATGGGAAGATAAATAATATGTGCAGTTTGGTAGGCAAAAAAATTTAACACCAGAGGACATAAGAGGATAAAGCTGCCACTGGTTAAGAATCTGTAATTAGGTAATTTTTCCATCTCCCTCCCACCTCAATTTGTCCTTGAGACTAGGTTGGATTTAAATAAACTTAAAATGATTAAGCAGCACTTACATACAGATAATGATACACCAATGGTTAACAGACTAGCAGAAAAAAAGGGACAAAGAGTCCCTGGCACGATTTCTTTACAGACCATCCTCTTGTCAGAACAAAATAAACAAAAGTAAGCTTTAGAGCTTCCTACCAAGCTCCTCTATCCTGGCTCGCTATTTAATATTACTTGCTTATATTCTATTTGGAAATATTTTGGTTCCAGGGCTTTTGATTGTTACAGTCTCTCTGTGTTCATTTTAATTCAAGCCTTCTTTAGCAGCTCCTTAAGATTCCATTTGATTATAAAAACAAGAAGTTCGGGGTTCCGGTCGCTGCAGACATACCTCGCCATTAACAGAAGTTTAGCATCAAGAGCTGCAGATGGCTGTTCAGCCTGAAAGATACACATGCCCGAGGGGCCTGTCACTTCTTCTATAATTCTTTGGAAGCACTTTCTGTGCTTCTCCACTCCACATGTGTCCTGCTGCACGTTAAAGAGGAACAGCAGCCCTTGGGGAGGATGGGGTAGTTGAGAAATCAAAGCCTGCAAGGCCAAGACCTGAGAACAGTCAAGTCGTGTTCTCTCAGATGTAACGAGGTCCAAAATGCTGTAATGTACCTTCCCTTCTCTCCATCTTTTGTCCTCCCTTTGACTACCCCTGGAAGATTTAGTTCAATTCTACATGCCACATTTAATGGAGATAGAGCTAGACCAGAACAAAGTCCAAGGAAAGGTGGACAGGAAGGTTAGGATTTGGAAATCATGTCCAAAGAGAGAAGGAAGGAATTAGGACAGATTATTCCGAAACAGTGAACACCTCAAGGGACACGTGAACACTTGATTTAAAGACCCTGGTGCCTGTCGTGGAAGAAGGAAGTTTAGCTCCTATCTATGGGACTGCAGAGGACAGAACAGGGACCAGTGACTGAAAATTATAAGGAGACAGATTCTGCTCCAATCCAGTGTGGAACCATGAGACTGCCTTCTGAGAAAGTGAACTCCCTGACAAGGAGTCCTTGTTGCTGAAATTATTCCAGCAAAGAGGAATCCAGAATGAAGACCACACTAGGCTTCCTGCAAGATTCGTTTTTGTCATACCTTTTACTTTCTCAGGATTTGGGAGATTCCCTGTGTGTTCTAATACCAAACCCTCATTTTCCCAGGGAGATGAACAAGCGTCTAACGGAGGAACAGGCCAAGAAAACCTATGATCGTGCAATTAAGCTAGAACAAGAATTTGGAGAATATTTTACAGGTAAGTTCATTTACCCTTGGACTGTGAGAAAGGAAATAAATTGTCTGACATTTGGCATAGATGTGGGCCTGGTATATCTGGTCCCTAAAACCTTCCTGCT